TTCAGGGTGTGGGGGAGCGAACTGCGAGCCTTGGTGTGACAGGGCATACCCGTCACAAAAAGGGGGACCAGTTCATTTCTAAACCCAGTACTGTAACACTGAGTTTAAAAATGGATTTACTGACAGCTTTGTAAGTGCAAGCAAAGCCAAGGAGATTCGTAGGGAAACGCATTTGTCAGTCTTTCCCACATCTGTTTCTGTGGGGTGACATCACAGGCAAGACCAGAATAGTTACAGAACTATTAGAATACACAATCAATAACTACTTAACTATAATCTATACTATAGATATATAGGTATTCTATAACTACAATCTATAGCTATTAGAATAAGCAATCCTTCCAGGACAGACTTGGCTAATACGCAACAGCTCCAGACACCGCAAAGACTGAAAAGTAGTGCTGGAAAATTATTTGAAGGTCCCTTCACATGAATTGAAGGTGTGGGAGGAAAAAAGCCAGCCCCGATCCACCAGCCACCTCCGCAGCCCCCCTCGGGGCAGCGTGACCCCACCATGGTCCATGGACTGCTCCTTCTTGAGAACTTCCAAGCCAGCGATTTCCGTGCTGCCTGCTTCAAACCACGTGGGCCTCCTGCCATTTGCTCTCCTGACCCGAACAGAACCCAACAACATCGGTTCCACTGGGGTTTGGTTACTTTCCTCCTGAACACAGCTGGCTTCTCAACAACGTAACACGCTCCAAGCAGCCAGTTCTCCTTCCTAAGCGTTTTTTCATTTTTTTTTTTTAAACACTGACATCAGCTTTCTTGTATTTTGTATCTTCTTTGCCAGAGATAATTTGAACCAACTCTAATCAAACTCCTTAACCGTCCCTGCCGGTTCCAGAAAAATATTACAAGTTTGTTCTCCAACATTCAGATAGCTTAAGCCCAAACGCTGGTCTATTTCAGGAAAACGACCGAGGTAACTTCGAAAATGAATTTAAAATTAATCAGGAAAGAAGGGGACTCAGAATGAAGAGGTTTTCCCACGCTGGAAAACCTCATGCATTTCAAGAACTCTCTGCCTTGGCATAAAGTGCTTTACTAGCAACAAGGAAGGAAATAGATTCTTCTGGTGCAAAATAGCCAAAAGCCAAGGGAGCTGAGAGCAGCGCACTTCAAACCAAGGCTTTCCACTCGGATTCCGAGCCACAGACTTGTTTGCTCTTCTCAGGAAGTCATCTCATCTTAGGTAAATGCATTGCGGTGAGCCCAGAGCAACGGACCCACCACATCAGCAGCACTGGGATACTCGATAGGACCAACTAGACACAAACCATCACACCATGCGATCGGTGTTCCCATTTCCAACAAAAACACCACCAGCTGTAAAATTACCAGCTGTTCCCACTGTACCACCTAGCTGGAAGCATCTTCTCGAGTCCAGATGTTCATCAATCATGCCACCATCAGGAGTCCACAGGAAGATGATTTCAAGCCTCAGCCTACAGTTATACCCTGATCATAAACACCCAAAAAGCATTTTTTTCCCCATTTACTCATGCACAGCTGCAGAGAAAATGAACTCAAGCAAGCCGTGTCCAAGAGGGAGTTCTGCACCAGGCAAAGCTCAGAGGTCAGGAGTGTTTGCCCAGCTGCTCTACAGAGCATCGAGACGGAAGGTTCATTTCATTCCTTAGCTCCCCGCTCCCCCATGGCAGCCTTCCCCCTTTTTCTCTTGTTCGCCTTCAAGGTACAGAGTTTATTTCTTCTGCAAGGTCTAACCTGGCATGAGTTTTGGCAGTTCTCACTCCATCCCTGCACTTCCTGACCCGCAAGAGGACTGGTATTTCTTTCCCACCAACCCCCATTCCTTGCAGGCTTAAGCTCCTTCTAGAGCCAGCTGTCCCTAGTTTTTCAGAAAATGGTATTCTCTCAGCATTTTTGAGTTGGAAAAAGCAAAAACAAAAATGAGGCAAAAATGCATACACAGCCCACCCTTGAACTTTCTAGTCCAGCTTGTTTTACTAACGAGCTACCTCTGCCTCAGGAACCCTGCAGCAACGCACACCCCCACCTCCGCTTGCTCTCTGCAAACAACTCTCCATAATGGTGTTGGCACCTAACGAGGGTAACTTCCATCTTTCAAAAAAAGCACGTTTCCTATGAACTCTCCAAGCTAGCAGCCTCCCCTCCCTCCTCTCCTCGCCCTCTTGAAAATACCCTTCTCGCAGTGAAAAAGGTGCATCAGAGCTGTTTTGAGCTCATCACGCCCCTCTTGCCAGGATGCAGAACTCTGCCGAGATTGCCTGGCCCCCCCATCTTTGAGCACCTTCTCCAGCACAGCTCCTGCGGGTATCTGGCAGCGCCACTTCTCCTGGAGACAGCACACACCTCCTCGGCACTTCAGGCTCCTTTCCAGTGCCACATCCACGCTTCTGACCCGCAGTCCTGGCAGACAGCGCTTTTGTTGAATCTACTGTGGGGGCCTGGTGGTTCTCAGCAAGCAGTCCCCAGGCGCACTTACCTCTTACCGACACTGGTGTGAATCCATAGTCCTTTCCTCTAGCTTTTGCATTACCAATTAGCTATGAATAATTAAGGGTAGAAATTAAAATGTTCATTGCCAAGAGATCAGTCAGGCTGAGAAACAGCTTCTCGGCACAAGAAGTGAAGGCAAACCTTTTTGGGGTTTTTTGTGGCTTTTTTTTTTTGTTTTTTTTTTTACTTTTTCAGCACCACTTCCCGTATTTATGACAGTGATGATGTGACATACTGTGTGGGACAGCAACGAACTGGAGTCAGTGACCCCCGTGATTCCCTTCTGCCCCACTGCCCTCACATGAATACCGTAGCTGAGCACAAGTTCCTCTCCTCCCCTCCTTGCGTCCACCCCGAGGTATCTGCAGAGCAGTCACAACCCCACCAAGCCTTCACTTCACAGAACTTACCAAGCCTAGCCTTCCTCATCTCATCCCAGTCACTTGGGGCACCACTTGCTCCCTACCCTGGAACCATGGTGATCTTAACACCAAAGAAAAACTTCCCATTACCAGTCTGAGGAACTTCTGGGTCATCTTTCCGCAAGCAGGGTTGAACAGAGTATCCTTCAAGAAGATATTCTGTGAATTGAGGGAAAGTCTTTGTTTCACAATACTAAGGAGCACCCCATAACAGTGCTGCCCTGAAACTCCCCATTTCCTTCCTCCACAGACTTTTAAGTGTGGCTAGAATGGAAACAGTGTAAATTATGTAGGTTAAAAGCTTGGACGTGTACAAAATATATTTTAGAGAAAGATTCAGTTCCACAGAAATGCGGGCATGGAAGAGCAGGACCCAGACCACTGATTAACAGGAGGGAAAAGAAGAGCTGAAGAAAAAACTTCTCACTTCCCCTCCCCCCCAACACACCCACCTATTAATAAAAGCTTTTTGCAATGATTAATGAAGCACGTGATAAACCTACATTTCTGATCAACATGCAAGAAAACAAAACTGAAATACAGAATCAGAGGATGGTGTAAATGACACTCCCATCCTGCCAGGTGAGAACGAACAAGGTTTGGGTTTTGCTTGTGGCTCACTAGCAGCATGCAGCCTGCATGGCCTCCAGGACCAAATGGTGCCTCAGTGTTCTGCTGTCGTTCTGTCTGTATGGGCAAAGACCTGGTGGCAAGGACCAGAGGAGACCAGGAGATACCACCAGGACACACAGCACTGAAACGGAAGTGGGAGGGAAACCGGGCATCAGAAGTTCCGCTGATCTCCAAGGGGAACAGAGAGCTACTAATGCAGAAGAGCCGCTCAATACATACTTAATTCACGGAATTTCAGCACAAGAATCACATAACCAGGTGTAAAAATCTTCAAATGTAATTTATTGAGACATTCAGCTATGTCTGTCAGTCTACATCCAAATTTACTACTAAAAATAAAATAGTATCACATTTCACATTAGGAATACCGACTTTGAAAAACACTTGAGTCAAGCCTATCGTATAAATAAGTGACTAATTTCTCTTCATATCAAAATTCACATAAAAAAATTGCCTGCTCCCTACTCCCACCTATTTCCCCACCCCAATCCCTAGTTCTACTTGAAGCCATGATGCATGTAAAAATTTAAGTATGGACATGTCCTTGTCAAAGAAAAAAGGTGCAAACCTATTAACAGCTTTAAAAGTGGCATTTGCGGAATCTGATCATACACAATAATGTACTCATTCCCAAAGTGCAAATATCGCCAGAGTTTAATACTGTTTTAATTCAGCTGCAAGAATTAAACATCACACAGCACAGTACTGCAGGGCCTCTATCTGTGCCCTAAAACTCATCCCACTTTCCTCCTGAACATGGCAGCAGAGGTCAAAGTGTTCATTAGAGCTTTAGTTTACTTCATGCAGCCTAGACTGTGCCCATTATTAGCAAAAGTTTCATATACATCAAAATATTGAAGACTCTGTCATAAAAGTCAAGAGTCGCTATAGATTACATGAATTCAAATGCAACTGCCCCACCGAGAACACCCAAAGCTTACACATGACGTATTAAGAGTGCTTCCATCTTCTGGTACAATCACTGCTGTTGTATCTTTGATTTTTGCTTACGTGCCACAAAAAACTTGGCAGCAACCAAAGCTGCACCTCAGTCACGGACTAGCAACTCCCTGCATTCAACGCCTCTCAGGTACCCTGGGACATGGCAGTATGCGACACCCTCCTCCTGACCAAAACAAAAGCTAGCATTCTGTCTGTCTACAACCCCTCACAGACCTCCCGTTCCTCTTGCCCCTCACCTACATCTTGAAAACACTCTCTCACTGCAATTTATTTCCAGACGTCCTTCCTATGCCCACAGTTCAGAGAGCTTCTGGAGTCATTTCTACTGCATCTCACTGGAGTTACCACTACCAAGCAGCCCACAAAAATCAGCATGGGAGATTACGCTTTGACCAGCATTAATAGCTAAACTTCTTTCACAGCTGTGGAAGGACAGGTTTTCTTCTGAGTCAAACTTGGATCTCCGAAATGTTTGTTCCCGCATCATCCTCTGTCACCTCAGAGCTGGACAGAAACCCTCGGGTCTCGAGCGGGGCACCCCTCTGGGGCTGCAATTAGTTCTGCAGCACAGGCTGCTCCCTGGCTGGCCTCACACAGGCTCGTGTCACTGTCCATGCCTGGAGCCCCCTCCGTCGCAGTAGAGACCCCCGGGCTGTCCTGTCCATTAGCACCCTGTCCGTTGCTCTTTCCAGGGCTGTCTTTCATATCTGGCCCATTGTCACGTTCAACACCGGGGGGCTCAGCTGCATCTCCAGGTCTGGTATTTTGCTCTGCGCTAGGATTTGGCTGTTGCACTGGCTCTGGTCCCAGTCCCGCTAGCTGTGAAGGGCTCTTCAGTTGGCAGTGGCACAAAGGGCAGGTTTCTTGCACATACAGCCATTTCTTAAGACAACCCGCATGAAAAAAATGGCTACATGGTGTGATTACAGCAGTTTTCATATCCTGAAAGAGACAAAAAAAAGAAAGATCATATTATTTGCAATTCCATTCCCTTCCTCTCACCCCATACATATAACAGGCCCGCTAGCCACAGAGGAGACAGCAGCAGTCTACAGGCAAGTACGAGAATGTTCCTTCCTTCATACCAAGCCTCCACATTCAAACACACACACAATTCAAACACCGGCCAGATTTGGCTGTTTACATTACAGGGATTGGAAATTAGGCAAAAAGCTTTGTTTACCAGGTATTATTACACTTAAATAAAAGCTTTTGTCAGATGAGAATCACAGGATTAGCTGGCTTAAGAAACAATTGTGCAAGTCAAAACCAGCACACTTACAGATACAACACGTAACAGCAGCAAACCAGAAATTAAGTAACACCCTCACTCCATCAGCTGAGACCCACACGTTACCGGTCTGGTGTTTCAAACACTGTCACTCCGCCTGGCACTGGCAGCTTTACTCTTCAAAGAATTTGTATCAAGTTTGGAGTCAGTCCAACTGCCCTCCAACTGCACACTACTAATCTTAGGGTGGTTCTTTCACTGTCACACGTAACTACAATTTCTATCCAAGAGAAAGAGACTTTGGAGCTAGCGGTGTGAGAAAGGTATAATTTTCAGCATTAATTTCTAAGGTCCTTCCATCTGCTGGCCTACATCAGAAAGACCCTTAACCTTTTTGTAATTAGGTTTCTGTTATAAAACTGACATTGCACATGAAGTGGAAGTAGCCATGTCTGTAGAGACTGAACGGCTTCTACACAATGGTAACAAACCAGCTGCTGAGTATACATTGTCTTTCAGCAACAAAATTTCCCACTACAGAAGAAAGGCCACATTTGCTGTTACTATTGAGACCAGCTCAACCCAAACTCCAGAGGTTTCAAAGCAGCTTAGGGACACAGTTTGCTGTGTAACCAGAGAAAAAAGAATGAAAGTTTAAACACATCCAAACTATCTCTTTATTCATTAAAACTAATCTCAGAGACTCCAAATCTCAGCACTCCAAGTTACACAAAGCAGAAAACTGGGTAATTCAAGTAACTTACTGAGCGCCATATTACTTATTAAACATTAATTCAAGTAACTTATTTTACTAGTTGCAGACCGAACTTGACTGTCTAGAGGTATTTCAATTCCAGTCAATCTCTGCACACTTCCATTCTTACCTGGTAGCAGATGGCACAGATATCATTGTGCTGCTCCAACTGCTCTTTTGTGGCAACAGGCAGTGATTTTATCTTATTCACAGCGTCTCTGCGAAGGAGGAAACTTTTCCATCCCAGCTGGGCCCGCAACCACACATTGTAATAGGAGTGAATGAAGATGATCACAGAACCCATCACAGTCCATTCACCAAAGATCGTTTCCGAGACACCGTATGCCACCACACAGAGAGCGACGAGGAATTCCAGCAGCCGGTACGTGCCATTTACATAATAAATCACATCGTCCATATTTTCTACTGGTTCTTTTCTGAACTCCTCCACCATAAACAAAACATAAATGAAGAGTGTCCCAAGCACCTGTAACACAGTGCAAGACCACAAGCTCAGCATTCAGTTTTGAACTGAACCTTAAGTCATTCAGCATCGTCCACAGAGTTCTGCACACACAATGCTCCCAAATCATCGAGCTCTGTATGTGCAACGCTCCCAAACCAGACACAGGGCAGGCAAGCCCTGAAGTAACGAAATTGCTGCTGAACTTCAAAACAAAACAAAAAAAAAAGTCACTCTTTCTTGCAAAGTATTTAAGCTTGTTTTCAAGTACTTGCCCTTCTACACTTTCCTGAGTCCAGAACATAGCTGAGTTGATTAAACAAAAGTGATTAGCATCATGAAAGGCAATTTTACAAATTAAATATTTAAAAGTTGTAACAAATACTGATAGCACAAAACATTTTCTGTATTAACACTACTGCGTTATGAACATTTACTTGCTTTTAAACAGCCACAGCTAAGTAACAATACATGAGTATCCTGGAAAAAAAAAAACTTCTTACTATAATAGTTATGCCCTCAATAGCCTTCTGGCTTTACAATTTGCAATAGGCTTCCATTCACCTGTGTTCTCAGCCCACCCTTAGGAGCTCCTTAGCCTCAGATACAGGATAGAGATTGTATATCGTATCTTGTACTTCTGCCTTTCTATCATCCCTGTTCTTTTCTCATCATGTATTTTGTCCCCTAGAGGAACAGGATCACAGTTCATGCAGGGCTTCACAGTTACTACAGGGGTAACATTCTTACCTGAAGAGAGGTTAGAATACTGCTGGAGATAATGATCAACAGCCAGAAATCCATGTGGAAAAACTGACAAATCATGTAGGCCATGTACGCAGGGAATACAAGTAAGAACAAACAGAGGCTGACTGCTCGGAAGTGCTTCCACAGACTCCTGCAAACAACACAATGGGTTTTCATTTTTTAAGTCAGATTTGAGTGTCAGAATAAGAATAGGCTGACTGCTGGATGCAGGCACATTGGACGTTTGCTCAAGGCTTTGACTTGCTGAAAGGAGTTTCTATTTCACTTGGGCACAGTCTCATTCCCAGCATGCAAGCCTACAACACATACAGTATGAAAAGTTCCCTCTCATCTGACCTTTGCGTTTTCAATACAAAGACAAAATATTATGGGCAAAAATTCACCTACAGTAATTGTCATATTTGGTCAAGTAGTGGTTTGACAAGTTAAGAACCTGAGATACTGAATGTTTCAGATGAAGTCCATTAAAATAAAGAAAATTACTAAATATGCATATAACTATGCTTTTCTATATGAACAGAGTTCTCCCAGATTATACACTTACTACAACTCTTCTTTTTGCTAATAGGCATGGGCCAAAGGTATTTCCTTTTATCACCAGATTTAATCCTGCTGCCTTTAAAAACATATTCCCCAATTCAAGGACCACAAAAGACAAAATGTATCGGGACATTCATCTCTGCCAGTCCTTACTCTGCTCCTATCATTTATTTCTTCCTAATCTCCTCCCCAGCCTAAACACACCATCTATCTTTTTACACCCATCCATTTGTGACGGCTTTCAGAATATCTCCAGCAATTTACTACACTACCTCTACATGTTCCTCAGGTTGTATTTCAACCTCTTTTAGCTCTAGAAAGGAAGTACAGAAAAAGTGAAAGTACCAGGGGGGACAGGATAGCAGCAAAAACTGGCTAATTTAATACAATCTGAAGAAACATCAGAACACTACTGTGAGGTCTGCAATTCTGTGTCTGTGGGTGAGTGGGAAAGGAAGAGCTGAAGTGGAATTTATCCAGATCCTAGCTGATTTAGAACTGCCTGGGAGATCTGGCAGAAGAGAGTTAAAACTCGCTGTCATCACATACTGCTTGTTTAAGCTGGGCAGATGCTCATATCCTGGCTCTACTCCCTTTCTCTCTGTTACTATATTTGAAGTTAACATTGCTGCAGGCAGAACACGCTGCCTACAAGTAGCCTTTAAGCTAAACAAACACTCTACACATAAATAAACCTTCTCTTTTATTTCTTCACTTACAGGTTACAGAAAGGGAAAAGACACAAGCAATTAACAAAGACACAAACAAACAGATTAATACAAGAACACCAGATACCAATACAGCTCTTCAAAATACAAATTAAACTTAACAACCATCCCATATGATGAGAATATCTGGTACACTAATGCAAGCCTTCCACCTCTTATTTTCTGCAGTAAACCCTATCATTTTGGGATCACAGCCTCACAAAAAAATAGCTTTTACAGTATATAACACAAGGTCACTCCCAGAAGCTTCCCATCCTCAATCGCTGTCCGAGACCACTGCATTAGAGGGAAACCTACCCAACTGCAGAGGAGGTTAAGCAAAACCATTCTGCAAATCCACACAGTGGAGCGTCGGCGGGGAGTGCACAGGCACTGGAGTCCTGGATTTGCTTAACTGAGACCCCAGCGCACTGCCACTCCAGCTAGGGTGAATAACCCCTGAAGAGTGTCATACTCAGAGTGGGCAGCCACCAGCTGCAGAGCAGCACGGTCTTGCACGCGCTGGATGGACGCAGTGCTGAGCAGGTGCAGGTGACCAAAGTCACCCCTGTTTGCCAGCATACAGCATGGTGGAAAGTACTACTGTGTGCCCCTGAGGGAACAGGATAGAGAGGGAAAAGCTGGAGAACTTAGACCAGAAAAGGAATCTGCATACAGAAAAGACAGGGTAACTTAACAAGCTACTAAAAATCCAAACCAGTCCATCAATTACTAGTTTATCACCTCCTCAAACAGCATTGAGTAACTTTCAGTTTAGGAAACCAGTCTCTTACTTGTCCCTTGAGGCTCCCAATGCCAAGACAATGGGATCAGCAATTTCCAGCATGGACTGAAGTATGGATGCCACCACAATGAAAAGAATAATACTGAGCAGGAACGCCCGATGCACAACTTGGAGCTCAATCAAACCTGTCTGCACAGCCAGGATCAGGAGCGTGACTCCTTCAGTCATTCCCCTGCAGATCAACACAGTCAAAAGAACAAATCAAACACATCTTTCTGTGTGTCAATACTGGTTCAAAAATACATCTAGAAACAACAGGAAATAAGCTGTCTGTCTCAGCTAGAACTCTTCAGATGTCACTGGTTGTGTTTACTGATGTCCCTGCTAAGGCTTTAACCAGAGAGGAATGTTTTCAGAAACGCTTAAGTGTTGGGGCTTAGGAACTGGCAGATTTCAGAACCCTGCTCCTGTCTAGCAGCATGTGGGCTACGTCCAGCCCAGCAGACACCACCCAACAACAGAGTTTCCCCCAGCACAAAGTATTTTAAGGACCCAGGTTGTGTGTGAAAATGAGGAATACCTCTGAGTGCTGCCTACACAAGCCCCAAGCAGCCCTGCTATGTCCCCACCTGGGCACCACCCTCATTCCTAGATGACCATGAGGACCCTCTCCACCTGCCATATTTCCCCACCACCACCCTCCTGTCTGTCCTTTGGCCCTGGGGAAACATCCTTGACTCAACACCCCACCCAGTGCCCAGTTTAGGCAAATCAGCAATTTAGCCATTTTTCACTTTAGGCTCCCTGTACCTTTACCAAATACAGCTGTCCTTTTTGCCTTGGAACCTCAGACTGAATTTAACACCTCTGAGGACCACATTTTAGCACCACTATTTGATGCAGTTAAAGTACAGATCACCCAGAACTGCTCGCTTCCCCGAAAGACGCTTTTAAGTAGACTATTCCTGGACAACCCCAATTTATACCATTTTTGCTTTCACATACCAGAATTCAAAACGTAAAACATTCTTTTGCATTTGGTCTGAACTTTCTATAGAGGTAAGGGCTGGAATAACTGAGAAAGGTAGTGCCATACCTAGGATCCCAATTTCATATTAGACAAGTTGGGATAAGTATTAGGAAAAGGTAGTTTCTCTGTTTTGGTTATTTCCCATAGCAACTTACAGGTAATCCATACAAAGTAGCATTTTAAGCCTCAAAGATCAGTAATGTTTCACACATGACTACAGGGTAAATGAGGATATGGAAATGTGAAGTGCTTCTATTATCCAAGCCTGTGAAAATTTTCCAGTGACTCATGTAAATGAAAGCACTAAGACAATCAAACTGTGCAATTATAAATCCCAAATAATAGCCCTGGATTTGTAACATAAATGAACCATCTCCCAAGCCTGTGACAAGCTGTATCTTCACCTCAAATCCTTCCAATGTACACACAGACTGGCATACAAAAAGCCTGACAAAGATAACCAAGAGTTTGTAAGTTAAAAAATTGTAATGCAACACATACATTTCTGTATAAATCCCTTTTAGTCTGTTTCTTTTTAGACCTTAGGCACAATGAGGTACTTACCTGTTCATAGCAGGGTCATTCATAAACGCTCGGTAACCCTGCAAGTAAAACTTGCAGAGTGTCAGAACTCCCAAAGCAACAAAGGAGACTGTGAAGACCAAGCCCAGCAGCGAGTATGGAGTGCTACAGCATTCAGCAATACTGGGATGAGAGAGTGGAAAAGAAACAAAAAGAAAAGGTCCATTAATTAAAAGCAGCGTGATGAGCTCTCCCCTTTGTCCTGTTAACTGTACAAGCTGGTTTTAAAGCAAAATTGGACTGGTTTAACAAAAACAGTAAAAGCTCTACACTGCCATGAAATCCTCCCCTAAAAAGAAAAAAGATGAGACGTATTCTGTTACTTCTTTTCAAGACACAACTTCATCTCAGCTCCCCGGCTGGTGCTGCTGCCGGGCTGGAGCTCAGGCTGTGCCGCAGCGTTTCTCCGGTCCCCTCCGGCGCTGTGCCGCACGGTGGCACTGCCCTGCCTGCGTAGGGTTGGCATCACTGAAAGGCAGTTTGACAGCCACAACCCACCCAGGTTACTGGCAGAATGGAGTTAAAGCAGATGGATTCACTAGGGCACTTTCCACTCAGATCCACAGTAGTTCAAACAAACCGATAAGTACTATTGGGAGACTGGGGGCTTTTTCGTAGCGTTCACACCAGGTTCAGGTAGGCAGCATCTGTCTCTCAAATGGCTGAGCCAGAAGCAGCAAAATAAGACAGTGAAGAATATTCTCCCTCAGCAGGCTTCTTCCTCTCTTGCTATAGCAGTGAAGTCCCAAAGATTGAGACCCCAGGATACATGTGACAATGCTGAGAATAGCTGCATTACTTCAGCTCCCTCACCTTAGGGCTGCTCTTCTGCTAACCCTGGCACTGCAATATTTGGGGCAGCCTAAGCCTCAGCGTACTTCACCTTCTGAAACACGAAGCTGCCAGAACAAGGGCAGTGCAGTGCACTGGATGGCCGAA